AAGCTGCAGCAAGAGTTCATTATCGACATTTAATATTCGTATATGTGGCATCCAATTAAGCCAAGTAATCGTTGTATTAATGAATCCATCACCTATAAATGTATTTTTATTTAATACTATTGTGATGAATTGTTTTTAGCAAATATTAACAGTCATGATTAAAAATTAGAAGATCAAGACTACTCTGGGTGATTTCAGTTTTAGGCTCGATAAACTTCTAATTTTACTTCCAGTCTCAATTCGGAAGATTAGGATCGAGATTAAAGTTGATTGTGTAATTTCTAATCATTATAAATATATGAGTTAAGAGCTGAAATGTTTCTCTACGATTCTGCAATAAAATGAAAGAAAATAGATGCTGTAATTCCATACGATTTGAAGGAAATTGTAAGACTTGGAATTACACATATCTTCTGGCCAAAATAACTAACACATCTTTTTTTTCGATTATTTCTCCATACCATTGTCATTTGATCTCACATTTATACCACAGATATACCTTTGATTGCTTAACATACTCTGAAAATTTCAGTCGTATACAAGGAGAATTTTTTGAGAAATGTACAAATATGTCTCACTCGTGTAAGAAAAAAATCGCTTTTTTTTGCTCGATTTTATTGTTTTTCTTTCTATTTTCAATAACATTGACCTTCGATGAGTGAATCCACTTTTACAGACTTTTTTCTAAGTGTTTTGTGCAGGAGTCTATTCAAAAAGCCTGTAACAGTGCAAACAAAATCTAGAAAGCTTAATTGATGCGTTAACGATTGATATTATTGAAAATAGAAAAGAAAAAAAAATGAGCAAAAAAAACAGTAAATTTTTGTCACACAAATACATGAGTACATGAGATATATATGTACATTTCTCAATGAATTCTCATCCAATACGAGTGAAATTTTCAGAGTATATTTAGCAATCAAAGACATATCTGTGGTATAAATGTGAGATCAAATGAGAACGATATGAAGAAATAATCGAAAAAATAAAATATGTTACTTATTTTGGTCAGAAGATATATTGTCAAGATGAGGACTCTGAATCTTGATTCAATAGATTGACTTAAGAGTGTCGAAGTATTATCAGCATTATTATAACAGACTAATAGACATGAGACTCGAAGGAAACTGCTTAATAAAAATTACGCTCTATGCTACATAGAGATGTTATTACATGCGTCTTTATATTGAAATAATGCTCCGATCATAATTCCGTATTGCCGGTGCACTTCGACCATACTGTTTTAGTATACTACTCTGGAAATTCTATTTGTATTTTCAATTGAAACAAGAGATGAAAACTAACGACCAAATAAACTACTATTTCAGTATCACTTCTTGTTTTTAATTCTTAATCTGATAAGTGAGCGAAGAAAAAACACCATAAAAAATTTAATAAAAATTACTTGATTGATTTTCATAACGTCTTTGAAGTTCAAGTTTATTAAACTGTGTAAGATTGCGATCATTGTGGTCCAATTGATAAATACCATACGGTTTAATTTTAATTGATTTTCCTATTTATAGCATATTTTTTAAAACTAATATTGAATAAAAAATACTCACCTCCACAAGATCCTTGTGTCAACATGTCAAGAAATGGCTTACTAAGAGATTCATTCTTGCCTATAAGTAAGATGATCCCTGGAGTTCTAGTAAATACCATTGGTATTAAACAATCTAAACGATCATCAGTTTGATTAAATTGAGTACGTACAATGTCATGCATAACCATGAATCGAAGATCAAAAATGTAAGGTAGCGTAAATATAACATAAACAGAATTAATACTGTCATAGTGGCATCCAATATGCATAGTTAACCAGTATGCTAAAACAGATTTCAAATAAAACTAAATTACAAATCATTGTACAAGTCTATAAATTTTCATATGTCTTAATATTAAGTCTTGGAAAGTGTTAGATAATTATTTTATGCATAAACTTTTTATCCTAATTGATTTTGTATTGAAGAGAACATGAGTGAATCATATTTTTAATATGTGAAAATGTTACATATCATGCCATCACCTACCGTACTGTTTGTGATTTGAGAAATTTTCTTCAGAAATTTCTATCAATATTCCCTCAAACTGACAGATTCGATGAATAGCTAGCTTCAGTTATTTGCTACAAAGTCTAGGTGTAAGCCATTCGCTAGTACTAATAAATAAACGCATAATACAACTACTCAATAATGAATTTAAACAAAACCGAACATCAAAATAAAAAAAATCCACATTGGTAATCTAAGGTAAGTGCTCAAATTTTAAAATAAATACAAACATTGAAGAGAATATATAGTTTTCTTTTTAGAATACATTTGCAAAATGAACACATAATTATAAACTGAATCAAATGTGTCATAAAAAAGGAAGACAGATGTTGTGAACGTATGGCTTCAATTATCGAGACAGTAGATTACTTACTCGTCTGAAATGACTGAATAATATTGTCCATTTGTTGATTACACAAGCAGGTCGTTTCAATCAAAAATGAGAACTCCTTCATCATTTTCATATGAACAACAATTCCATTGAACAAATGATTGCCATCAATGTACGTCAATGAGTGTCTAACATTTGGATCTTGATGAATGAAAGCCAAATGAAGCGTGATAAGCGTATTACGGAAAAGAAGAATAAATTTAATGATACTCGTAAAATCTTGCACAACCATATTCCGTGATCTAGACATATAAGATGCATGATTTGAATTAAAATCTCAATTGTAGCATAATCTTTAATGCACATTTACCTCATGACCAGTTTAGTCAAATGGCGACATGGACAGAATGACAAAGGAAATAGTTCTTGATCACTTCGCTTCACATCAGTACCGAGATGAACTTCTGTCATAATATAATATAATATAATATCAGTTGAAATCAATTTTTCAAGAATTCAGCAAATAAAAAAGAAATATTATACAAGGCTTCAAAAGAACTTGTTCGAAATTGTCACTGCAAGCCTTAATCTACAGCGTTGATGCTTACAGGAAACTCAAATTAACGCAATGGACCTACTAAGAGAAGACTATTTTCGTTCTTTTATATTAGAAGAAACATATACAGATGCGGCAAAAATTATTCGTACAATTTCTTTTTCGATCAAAGATAGACTTTTTAAGACTTGGTGGGTATCAAA